AAGTGAGTTTTCAAGAGTCGATGGGACTGTGAGAATAAACTAGAGGCAAGAGTCCAGGCCCCTGGTTTGGTGCACTCTTCCTTCACTCACTCATTCACTCACTCATTCACAAACAGTTCTCTGATGTATAGCTGTCTACCCAGTAGTGGAAAAGCACAGAGGAATCAGACAGATCCAGATCATGGCAGAGCTCACAGCCCAGAGAAAGAGAAAATGACGTGGCTATAATAAAGACAGTAAGGGTAAAGAGCCATAGAGGGTGGAGTTCTAAGAGAAGATGGGGGAAAACTGGTTCCAGACAGAGGAAACAGATTGAGTGAAGAGAGTGTGGAAGAGCACAGAACGTTTGCAGAACTGTCTGTAGTGTACCTCGTCAAAGAAGGAGGCCAGAGAAGCAGGCAGTGGGGGACGGTAGAGGACTTGTGTGCTATGTTCTTCTGCAGGCAGTGGAGAACCGATGGTGGCTTTAAAGTAGGAAAGTGATAGGATCAAGTTGCGTTTTGCAAAGGCACTGGCCAAGGCTGAGAAGAACAGAAATCAGGTCAGAGATTTTACCAGCTAAGGATGCATTTGGCTGCAAGGAACAAAATGCCCTGTAGTCTAAATACAAGGAAGTTTATTTTTCTTCCACAAGGAGAAATCTGAGGGCAGGGGGCCACTGACATTGGTCTGGGACAGAGGCTCTGGGATTCTGTCTGCTTTTCCCTCAGTGACTACAAGATGGCAGCTCCACCCTTGCTGTCGATCTTCAAGAATGAAGAATGAAAATTAAGGGTGGAATAAATAAAGGGTTGTATCTGCCCCCCTTTTTATCAGGAAGCAAAATCTTTCCCAGAAACTTTCTGACACCTTCTCTTAGGTCTCATTGCCAGAGAGAACTATGTCACAAACTCCCCCCAGCTTTAAGGGAGGCTTGCCCTTGGTAGAGAGCCAGCCTGGGAGAAGGGGGTGGGTCTGAGGACTCTGTTAGTGGATCCACGGGGCCCCCAACAGTCTCGTGCAGACCAGGTGGGTGCAACAATTCCAAACATATTCACAAAGCTAGCTAGCAGCCTGGAGGCTGATGGGATATAAAGAGGAAGGACAAAGAGGAGTTCCACATGACATCTACCTTGTGGGCCTGGACAGGTGGGCGGGACTCAGTTTGGGACATGACTGAGTTTGAGGTTGCCATGAGACTCCCAGGGTAGAGAGACTGTGAGGCTACAGCTCCAGAGAGAGAGAGAGAGAGAGAGAGAGAGAGAGAGAGAGAGAGAGAGATGGTGACTAGAGTCACTGAGTGTAGGGAGCAGTGGATGAGGTTGTCCAAGGAGGATGAGTAGGAGAAGACCCAGGGTCCTGGGTGGGTCTCTGGAGACGGTGACATCTAAGGAGGCAAAGAAAGAGAAATCCATGGAGAAATCTGCACCTCCAATTTCTTCATGGCCCCTGCTGTGCCCAATATATCCCACAGAAAAACATTAAAAGAAACAGACCAAACAAAAACATTAAAAACCATTCTAACCCCACCATCTTGAGAGCAAGGTTGCCCAGTGGAGCGTTCTGCAGTGACAGTAATGTGCCGCATCTGTTCCGCCCAGGCAAGGGTCCACCCACCACAGGCCGCTTCAAGCACTTAACACTGGTAGTGTACTAGAGGAATCTGCACTTTTCACTTTGTTTCATTTTGCTTCCCTGCATAGCACTCACCACTATCGAATCTCCCTTTGATTCGTTTGCTTGTTTTATTTACTTTCTCTTTACCTTAACCAAAAGTAAAGTGTGTGCGAGCAAGGACTTTTTCCAACTTGCAGAATTCTTGGCATATGGCAAGTACTCAATAAATAGGTGTTTAATGAATATAGAAAAGGAGTTCTTGGGGCTGGGGATTTAGCTCAGTGGGTCTGCCACCTGCCTCGCAAGCACAAGGTCCCAAGTTCGTTCCCTGGTACCAAAAAAAAAAATTATAGAAAAGGAGTTCTCTGAAACACAGAAAAGAGAGAGAGATCCCTGAGTAGGGCGTTGCCCCTTTCCCCACCTTCTCATTCTCTTTCCTTTGCTGACCTAGAATCTCCTCCACTTGCAACACATCCTCGGGAGAGGTGTGGCTACAATCAGTGTTTAGCAAACATTTGAAGAACAGGGTGTGTGGTACTCTGGCTGTGAGTGGAAAGAGGGGAACTTCCAGGCCATGGCTGGAGACATAGATTTTGCCCTCAGAAAGCATTCTGGTGTGGGGTAAAAATCCCTCATCCGGAGACAGGAAGAGCCTCAGCCTGTCCCCTCCCTTCTCCTGAGGCCACCACATGAAACCTAGACTCTGGGCAGCCGCCACCTCTGCACGGGTCCTAGCGGGGGGGGGGGGACAATGGGCTGGGGCTTAGCTCAGGAGACAAGGGGCCCTTCTTGGGAACCCTGGCCCTGGCAGACTCTTCCTCTCTGTAAGCTTGGACTCCTTCAGGGCAGCAAGGCCAGGACTCGGTGGTGAGGAGGTGGCCCCGTCCTGTCAGAAGGTGGCTGCAGACTGGGGGTGCCATTTGGATCCTGACCTCTTATCAGGCTTCTGCGAATGCCCTCTGATAAACCCTCTCAACACCCAGCCATTCTGTACTTGGCTCTGAAAGAGGTGGGGCTGAGACTCGGTGAACACGTGGCCCCCGGGGGTCCACACCAGGGACAGCGTCTCTCAAGTGGCCCCCCACAGCCCTGGAGGTGGCTAAGAGTCACCCAGTTGTGGAGACACACACCTGTAATCTTAGCTACTTGGGAGGCTGAGGCAAAAATATCACAAAGTTGAGACCAGCTTGGGAACTTAGTGAGACCCTGACTCAGAATGAAAAGGGGGATGTAGTTCAGTGGTGGAGCAGTCCTGGATTCAATCCCCACCAGAAAACAACAAATAAAAAAGAGCAACCCTCCTGGGGCTGTGGATTCCCTCCCTCTGACAGGTCAGGATGGTCTTCTCTTCCTCTCTCCTGTTTCTCAAGCCCCATGACATATTTCCAGAGATAGACAGAACCCATCCCTCGGGCTGGGCCATCTCATCACGAGGCAGGTGGTCCCACAGCAGTACTGCACCCTGGAGGTCGGCACAGTCCACTGTGGGAGAAAATCCACCCAAGTGCCATCAGCACGAGCCTTTACCCTCTTTTAACTTGACGAAGGAAGGAGAGATGCTATGCAGGACTTCAGCTTCACTCTGGAAGAAGAGTTGGATTAGCAGGTGTTGTTTGGGTGATTTGGATTTTAGCAAGAGGGAAGGAGAAGAATTTAGGGCTACAGTCACATGTGGGACAGCTGCTGAGAATAAGGACAGGTACAGGTCTTGTGGGGAATCCTCAGTCCTTCTGGCACGTAGGAACACATGGATGTGCCCCCTTCCCGCCCCTTGGGTGTCAACACCAGTGCTGCCATTGTCCCGCTGCCAGGGTGGCCCTTGGGGCTGACAGAAAGAGACTGGGCCCTGAGAACAGAAGAGGGATGTGAAAGCTAACAAGAAGGGTAGATTTTTGTCATTCTTCCCCTGGCTGAGGAAGGGAGGGTGCAGGACACTGAGTGCCCAAAGGGTGGAGGGGACAATGAGGGGCCTCAGGAGCCTGGGACACAGGTGAGTGCTCCCCTGGTACCCCATGCTTCTGCAGCACTTGAGGGTGACTGTATCCTGGTCCTGATCCTGGAGGGCTGCATTCAAGGAGGGGACAGGGCAAGTTGCTCACAGGAGGACAGAGTCTGCCAGGGAGTAGGCAGGCCTGGCTGGGTGCCTCATGTGAGTCACAGGACGTGCCCAGCCCAGAGGGAAGACGAGAGCCCATGTTGACTGGGAGAGGGTTGGCCCGCTGAGTGTAGTTGGGCCAAGGCTGAGATTATTTCCATAGGATTTTATAGAAAATTATAAGAAAGGCAAAAACCCCAAACAAGAAAATGCAGGAGCCATGAAACAGAAGACTCTTCTGAGCTCAGATTCCTTATCCAAGTTCAGCCACAGAGCAACACTGTTACTGGGTTTTGGGGTGCTGGAGTCTCCCAGAGGTGGATTCTAGGTTACTTCTGTCCTGAACAAAGAATTGGTCAAGACAAGTGCTATAGGTAGAGAGGTTTTATATTTATTAAAGGTAGGAAAAGACATATGATCTGCAGAGCCAATTAAAAGTAGGAAAAGAAGTCCACTACAGGTGAGAGTGGAACATTGTGAAAGAGACAGCAGTGGCCAAGTGCTCAAAGGCAGCCATCTTTTGTATCTCCCACTCCTCAGCCTGATGTCAGGTCAAGGCTGTCCTGTGGAAAACCTGCTCAAATTATCCTGAAAAGAACTGAAATAGGACTTGATGATTGGTTCCAAGTGCAGAGCTTTGGGCCATGTTCTGCCCTTGTGTCCTGGAACCCTGATGGACAGGCCACACCCACTTCCCCAGCCAGTTTGCCATGCCCTAATCTCCTGCCTCATTTCCCCCTGAGAAATATAAATCCTCATAATTCTTCATGGGGTGCTGAGGAAGTGAAGGTCTCTGTCTTCGTATAGCTGCTTCCTGCTGAAAGGGGCTGTGGGCCCTACCTCCTGGGGATTATGTTTTCTCTAACTATCTTAGGATGTTGTGGCTCACTGCTGGGTTGAAGAAATAAAAACCTATCAGAAGACAATAAGAAAGGAGTTAGTCTCTATGTGTGAAGGACTGTTGAGCTGTTTCAAGGAAGAAGCTTGGTGAATTTGTCAGGAGAGTTACTTTACTATTAGGTTGGGGATGTAGAGCCCAAATATGAGAAGAAGCAGGTCGAATTCCTATGCTTCCTCTGGAGGAGAAAGTATGGCAAAGAGGGATGTTAGATGAATCACCAAGATCCTGAAATCATGGCCTTAGCAAGATCGCCCACATTGTGGATCTAATTAAAAACAAGAGTCTCAGTACAGGGGCCCACTTACACTGTGGTGAAAGCCCATTAATGACTTTATTTGTCTGCACCCAGAGTGGTGCTGGAGCTCTGCTTTTTAAAGAGGAGCCTCAGGCCGGGGATTTAGCTCAGTGGTTCTGCCGCCTGCCTTGAAAGTGCAAGGACCCAAGTTCAATCCCTGGTACCAAAAAAAAACAAAACAAACAAACCAAAAACTAAGGAGGAGCCTCAGGTCTTCCAAATGTTCACAGGAAAAGCTTCCTTCTTTTAGGTGGTCTCTTTCTTCAGATGGTTCAAGGGGAGCTGTCTTTATCCTAGAAAGATGAATCCAATTATCTGTCTCTGCCACCTTTTCTGCAGTAGATGTGGCAAGGATCACTGAAAGGGGGCCCTTCCATTTTGATTTTACTTGGTCTGCTGGAGTCCCTTCTTTACAAGTTTTAATGAGCATTTGGTCTCCAAAGCAGACACCATGTAGTCCCCTTGGGCCAGGAGCTGGCAGGACTTTGTTCCCATATAGTTGGATAGCCAGTTTTACTTGGCCTACATTAATAAGATATTGTAAGAGTCTCATAGTCTTTGGGTCTACTATAATATCAGAAGATAGAAAAGGCCTCCCATATCTCCACTGGACTCATAGTTAGCCCAGTTTTTGGCATGTTTTGAACCCTTATGAGGGCTATTGGCAATAATCAGAGCCAAGTCTCAGAAGTCTCTTGGCAAGGTTTTGCCAGACCTCACTTTAGGATCTGGTTTGCTCTCTTAACCTTTTTAGAAGACTGAGGTCTCCATGGAAAATGGAGATGGTACTTTATTCCCAAACCCTTTCCCACCCCAAGTTATTTGAGAAGTAAAAGAGGCCCATTGTCACTCTGAAGGGATTGGGGTGGTCCAAACAGGGAGAGATTCTTTGAGGAGCACATTGACTACCTCTGTAGCCTTCTCTGAAGCCTCAATCCAGTAAAGATGTCCTTAAGGCAATATCTGTTTAAATCCCCCACATGGTGGCTTATGGGTAAAGTCTAAGTGCCAGTCCTCCCCAGATTATATCCCTCTCTTCTGAATAGGTTCTAACAAAGGAGGTGATTGGGATTGCCAGGGTTATTGAAGGTGCGGGGTGGGCAAGCTCTGTAGACCTGTCATGTGGTTGCCACTAGTTGTGAAAATTTGACAATATCCAGTGTAGCACCTCTACCCATATGGAAAGAATCGTGAAAGGTTTTTATAGCCTCCCACTGTATCCCTTTGAGGAAGGAACAGTTTATTTTCAAAATACCCCCAGAGTCCCCTTTTAATTCTCCCTTGTCCTAAGGCCCATTTATCACACTGTGTGGTATAGACTGGTTTTAGTGGCTCTTCAGGAATTGGGAGTAAGGCTAGGGTCTTGAGGGGCTGTAAGGCTGCCCTTCACACCTCCCAATCAGCCTTTTGATTTCCCAAAGAGACTTTAGGCACATCTCTTTGGTGTTCTTTGCAATGAGTGACAGCAACTTGCTTGGAAAGATAGATTGCCTCTAGGAGTTGTAGAATTTCCTGCTTATGCTTTATAGATGATTGTTTATTAGTTAGCAAGCCCTTTTCTTTTCAAATAGCTGCATGGGCAAGTAGCACCGGAAAGGCATATTTGGAGTTTATATAGCTATTTAGCTTTTTGAGTTTTCCTAATATCAATGCCCACATGAGAGATATGAGCCCTACTTTTTTAAGCAGAGTTTCCTGAGGGAAGGAGTTTGAGCTCAGTGACCTATTGTGAACTGACAACTACATAACCTACCTTTTGATGGAAAAAGCTACTTCCATGAGTGAACCATATCTCCTCAGGGTCTTGGAGGGGCAGGTCACTGATGTCCTGTCTGCTTGCATAGTTCTGGGAAATCACTTGTTCACAAGAGGAGCTAACCTCTGATCCTTTAGGCATCAAAAAATGCAGGATTAAGAGTAGTGCAAGTCTTTACGGTAACCTCAGGGGTGTCTAGAAGCATGGCCTAGTGTAGTCCCAACAGGTAAAATCTGCCTTGGCCTTTGCCAGAGTTTGAGAAATGCCCTCAAATTTTCTAATAAATCCCTTCCTAGTAAGGGAGTAGGACATCATAGGACAATTAAAAACTCATGGTTAAACATTTGACCTTCAAAGTGACATATCAAAGCAGGAGTAAAGGTGCTCTGACTAGGGGTCCCCACCACCACCACCACCACCACCACAATTATGGCTATAGCTCTAGAGGACGGTTTTCCAGAGAAGGAAGTTGAAACAGAATGAATTGCCCCTGTATCTACTGGTAGTTGGGTTGGCTCACCCATGACATCCAGGGTCATCCAGGGTTCCTCACAGCAGATGGTGATGTCTGTGGACAGGGGTGTTATGGGTTGCACCAGGCCCTTTAGTCTTTATCAGAGAGGGAGATGAGGGTTCTTGCTGGCCTAGCCCCTCTCTGGGAGCAGGGATAGTTAGTCCTCTAGTGCCATGAGTCAGGCACATTGGCTGCCTCACACTGAGAGCAGGGTCTGGGAAGTGGCTTGGTATAGTGATGTGCTCAGTGTCCAGTCTTCTTGCATTTAAAATGAAAACCTTCCCTTAATTGTCCTGGGTTTTCCCTTAGAAGACTTGGGTGAGTTTGAAAGATTGCCCATTGTGACACCTAGAATTCTGGCTCTCCTCTTTTTGTCCTCATCTAGATCCTGATTGTTGAACACAGAAAAGGCCATGTCCAGCAATTGGGTCATAGGGGTCTGGGGACCCATCTAAAGTTTTTGTAATTTGTGTCAAATATCTGGAGCTGATTGACAAATGAAATGATTTCCCATCACTACCTGTCCCTCCTTGGAAGATGGATCTAGTTTTATGTATTTAATGAAATGTAGGGAACAGGGAAAGGGGAAGTTACTAGAATCTCTGCAGTTAAGTCCTAGTCTCCTGCGAGCCACAGCAGCACAAGGTGAACTACAGGAAAGGTAGGAAAATGAGACTGAGAAGAAGCTGAGCTTTGATCAGTGCTGCTCTGGGCACCAAAGATGAAAGCCCCCAGCTTACCGCACCTTTTATTCAGTACTCAGTACATCGGGAGAAACACATGTAACAAATGACTCAAAGAGAGTTCAGTACATCCGCGTAAACAAGATGTAACAATCCAAGAACAACTAGGAACTGAGTAGATGTTTGTTCCTCCCAGGATGTTTTCATCTCCCAGAATCACAGCATCACCAGATCATTGAGGTCTCAGTTGTGACCAGAGGCCAAAATGGAGTTATGTCTCAGAATTCCATAGCTGGGCTGTAGGCAGGAGAACTAGGCTAACCAAATGATTTAACCCTAAAATTATGTACCATTGCTCCCGACAATGAAAGGTTTCTACTAATCAGCTATGGAAAACAGCTGGATTTGCCTCTTTGCCCTGTATTACCTCCTTCACCTTAGTACAATTCACAGATGGCTAATGTGCTTTTTCATTCCCATGAAAAGAGCAGCTATATTGTCGGACATCCTTTTCAGCCCTTCAATAGTATTATAGTCCCAGCTGGTTCTGTTGGAGAAATAAGACCTCTCTGGGGTGGTTTCCTTCCCTTTTACAGTATATTGTTCATCTGCATAGCTTTAAGTATCTTCTAGGATTCTTTCTTTTTCATCTGGAGTATAGCAAGTGGCCTCGATGAATGGGATATTTGCCTTGATAGGTCAAAAGCTAGGGTCAGAGTTAAAAATCCATCTGCAAATGTTCAAGGATCTTTTGAAAGTCAGCCTGACCGTTGCCTTGCATTTTTGGATACCTGCAACTGAAAAAGGAACCTGGACTCAAGTGGTTCCCTCAGCTCCTGGTACCTCTCTCAGGGTGAGCTATGAGTTAGAGCAGTAAGAGGCACCACTTCGAGAAGATCTTGTAGAACTTAAAGCTATCTGAGGAGCGTGATGAGCGGCCTGAGGAACACTGAGTTCCTCTAAGGTGCTAAGCTCTAGTGAAGTTCCTGACTCACTTAAATAATGGGGGACTGATTTACCAGCTAGAAGACCATAAGGAGGAGGCCAAGGCACCTCTCAGTGTGGCTGTCTTCGTTAATCAAATGGGAGAGACCTGTATCCCCCTGGGAGACAGCTGGGGATCCAAGGACCGGACATCCAAGATATCCCTCTCATCCTCAGGGGCCATTCTAAATACCATAGTTGTGGGGTTTTACCAGAGAAAAAAAGCCATAAAAGCCTGAACATAAGGGATTTCACTCCATCTTCTATGCTTATGCAGAAACAATTTAACTGAAAAATGATATCATAATTTAAACTGCCATTCTGCACCCATCTCTTGCCATCCCCTAGCACATACTGGACCCAGATCACATTGCAATAATAGAAAAATCATTCCTTTTTAAAATTGGCAGGGTCAAAGTGTTCCCACCGATCAAGGATATGGTCTAGTGGTGAGGTCAGTGGGATCTATGGGGTACTGTTCATGGTGTTTGCCATGGCTTACCTTGGAGCCTAAGGGGAGGAAAACTGGAGTTCTTCAGATGGTGTTCAGTGCAGAAAGAGGAGACCCAGTGAGTTCACTAAGAAGCCCCTGTGAGATTCAAGTATTTACTAACCAGACATCTCTGCTCAAAGCTGTGGCAGGGGCACTGGTGCCTTACTAGAATAGTGGACCCTTCTTGGGGCTCTCTTAGCCCAGGACTCTCCATACTTCAACCCACTAACTCCTTAGGGAGAAAGGTGAAGCCCTCTAGTGGCTCCCTAGGAAACTCACATAAAATCAGGGTGAAGCCCCACCCCCACCCCAGGCCTCCTTAGACCCTGGCTCACTGATGTTTTAGAAAGGTGAAGCCTCTCAGGAGCTCCCTTAGAATCTCCTATGAGATCAGGGTGGAGTCACTTGGAGAGTGCCTTAGCCACTTGAGCCCAGGAGATAAGAGTGGAGCCCTCTCCCCGGGTCTCTTAGAAACAGTAAACTCTTAAGAGATCAGGGTGGAGCCCTCAGGGAGGGAGGCTCCCTTAAATCAGCATGCTGGCCCACCCAGGGGCTTCCTTAGTCATTTGAGAAATAATATTCCTTGCATTTACCCCAATAATAAAAACTTTGGTACTTTGTTTAGGGCAGTAGAAGCAAAAACCTCTTTTTCAACAAAACTTTTAAAACCTTTTAAAAGTTCTAAGTAGAGGAATGACTCTACTTTTGCATACTCACAGCCACTTGAGTTGACCTTTACTGGTTGTTTCTTTGTTCTGCTCAAGCTGTTAGGCATAAGTTTCTAAATTACCTAAATTTCTGTTAGAGAAAATAAACAGGGAAGGGATCTAATCCAATTCAGAAGAGAAGAGAGGAGGAGGTCCATATGTTCCCTAAAATCAAAGGCTTAGCTCTTATCTACAAGAGTGAGATTTCCTGGTGACATACGGCTAGTTTAAAAAAAAAAGGCAAACAAACAGCACAAACATGTGACCAACCCACATGACCACTAAAATGACCAACAAACATGGTGAAATCTATGTGGCTGACCCACAGGATAAACCAAAGGATGAACCACAATGGCCACCAAATATGGCAGACCCATGTGACTACCTCACATGATGAACCAAGATGGCCACCAAATATGGCAGAAAGGTGGACATCGATTAAACAAGGCCCTGAGAAAGTGACTGACTGAGGATACTCAGAGATAAAAGGCCATCTGGGGGAAGAGCACAGATGAGAATTTGAGCATAAAAAAGGGTAACCTGGAGTAGGCAGCTACTCAAGTAGGAGACCAAGTTACCAATAGCTACTTTTCCCAAAAGAGTGAGAAAGTTGAGCAAAGGACTGCAGAGAACAAAATCATGAAGACAAAAAGGTATACTAAAAAAAAAAAGGCATGCTAAATTCTAGGTCACACACATGGAATCTGAACAATCTATTCTTTGACTGGGTTAACAACAGGCTCTCTGGCAGCTCTTTATTGACTTGTACTGGCAGTGAGTGATTGGAAAATGGGAAAGAGAAGAAAGAAAAGGGTAGATAAACTTGAGGCAGACCTGTGGGCCTCTTACTGGCTGGTAAACACAGAGGCTGTGTGCTTCTCCTCCACTGTCCCACATGGTGGGGCACACTAGGAAACTGTTCCTCGCACCACGAGAAAGCTTCCCAAGTCCCAGCTGCCATTATTTTTTACCACTCTCTTGTTCCTGCCTCTCCCCAGCAACCAAAAAGGATTCGAGCCTTCCAATGGATGAAAGCCTGTCCTTGGATAGAAGGGATAAGAAAGTAGTTGGAGCTTTCCAAAGGAAAAGAGAGAAGGAAGGAAAAAACCTTCTCAGCCTTAGATTTTAGAGAACCAAAACAGTGCCCAAGGGCTTTATCTGCTCCTGGCTGGCTTCACCAAAATATGTTAACGGGTTTCAAGGTGCTGGAGTCTCCTTGTAGAGGTGGTTTCTAGGTTCCTTCTGTCCTGAACAAAGAGTCAGTCAAGACAAACACAAAAGGTAGTGAGGTAGGAAAATAAACATGCTCTGGAGAGCCAATTAAAAGTAGGAGAAGAAGTATACTCTACAGGAGAGTGGACCACTGTGAAAGAGACAGCGGTGACCAAGAGCTCAAAGGCAGCCATCTTTTGTATCTCTGATGTGAGGTCTAGGCCATCCTATCAAAACCCTGCTCAAGTTCTCTTGAGAAGACCTTAAAATAGGACTCTGAATGGTTCCAAGTACAGGACTTTGGGTGACGTTCTCCACAGGTGTCCTGGAACTCTGTGATGGACAGGCCATGCCCACTTCCCCAGCCAGTTTGCCACACCCTAATCTCCTACCTCAACTTGACTGGCAGGAGTCCTAGCTATTGCTCTAGCACTTTTCCATGGACAACTGGGGGAACAAGGCTCTATGCTCTGCTCCCCCACCCCCCACTCCTAGCAGTGTCTGGGCTCTACTAGTTCTGTAAGGGCATACTGGGTTATGTGCCCTTATGCATACTGACCGGATTCCTACCACAGAGAAATGAGGAGCGGCTTTACTCATATGGCACTTGTCCACACACCTGGCTGCCCTAGGGAGAACCCACCTTTTCCCCCATCTCCTTCCAGTCCCCACCCTCGAGGAGCAATGACTATCCCAAACAAATTAGCCATATACAATTGGGCTAAAATGATGGGTAAAAACCAAAGGTGTTTAGAATGTTTCCTTAGGGTAAATTTGATTTTTAGCAAAGTGAAAAATTCTCTGTGGACCCTGGGCAATGTCCTCCTTTTTTTTTTAACCTTCCCTGGGCCCTTTCTGTGGATGCTGCTGTCTCCATCTCTCCACCAGCCCTCAGAGTTCAATCTCTCCACCTCTTTCTCTGTTTCCCTGAATCCTGGGCCTGGCTCTCTATCTAGAACCTTTTTCTCCTCCAGAGGCACCTACAGCACTTCCATGTGTTCAGGGTTGAGCAGCTGTGCACCGGTGAAGGACAGCCAGCCAAAGGTGTGGAAGTCCCCATCAAGCATGTCTGTAAGGACACATCCCCAAAGATCGCTGGGATGGAACTGGCACAACCAGATGTTCTGTGGTCATGCTGGTTAGTAAGAATGGAACACACACTGGAGTTTCTATTT